AATTAACTCTTAACTCAGGGCCGGGCTTATGGGAAATCACTGTTAACGTCTTTACAAAGGATAACCAAATTAACGTTTTGCAACGGAGCGGGGGGGGGGGGGGGGGGAAACTTCTGGTTGGAAGGACAAAATGATGGTACGGTAACTCTTGGAAAGACGGGTTGTTATTGAGATTGGATACCGATGGGACTAGTTGGAGATCATGTCTAATGACGCGGTCTGCTGTTAGCGGTGTCCAACTGTCAGTTAACGCTACGGTAATTTTATGTGTTACTGTCTTGTTGGGAACTTACCAATTAGGGAGTGACCTTCAAGGATTCGCTCCGGTAAGCGGCATCATTACCCATTACGAACGTTTTATTTTCGAGGTCAGTGACACGTAAGACGCTTTCCTTCATTCAGTCAGTGACGTCATTGTTCTCAGACTCTAGATCAACGACCTCCCTGGTCCACAGTTTTCTATCCAGCTTGTTTCCATGTCTCAGCTCACTCCAGTTTTGACACCCCGAACCTCCCTGAATGAATATTCTCCAACGTTAGGTACAAGGCAACGTTCTTCTAAGGACCACACAGGAACAAGGTTTGTGGGTTAGTGGAGGTATAGCTCCACTCTTTCTTGGTTTCGGCACTAGATGGAGGTAAGTGGTTAGCTTCACGTTCAGGCCACCTTAACCCTGAAGCAAGGTCCCCCGGTACCCACTGGACAGGAGTCTGGGTTGACCACAGAGTGGTCCGGAAGGGAGGACTACAAGAAAAATATTTTTTATACGTTGATGTTCTTTTGGGTGTGGACTGGTTGGTAGATGCCAACATCATCAACATCGTCACCGCCTTGAGAACCTCAAATCTCACATATTTTTTATAACTAGACCTCGGAGGGAGGGAATTACAAGAAGCTGGAAAAAAGGTTTTGCGAATTTGTGTCAAGGCTGGAGCCCGAAGCCTATCTAAATAACATTTATTAATTCAGTCCGTACCGCGAAGAAAACACCACACTTCACCATTACGTAGATCAACTTTTTAACGCTGTTTAAGTAAATAATCGCTGTTTAAAATGAGAATCATACGAAACACATAAATACACTGCGTAGACATCTAAATAATATTTAAATATTCAGTCCGTACCGCTAAGAAAACACTACACTTCACCATTACAAAGATCAACTTGTTAACGCAGATTAAGGAAATTAATCTCTGTTTACCGATCTTTATTGTGAGAATCATATGAAACAAATAAATACATTATGTGAGCAAAATGTAGAATTAATGACTTTCAAATTACATGGTGCATATAATTAACTCTTAGTTTCGAAAGCTTAATAATACATACGAACATACATTTGGAGTCCACTAGAAGGAAAATGCCTGCCAGCATGTCCTCTTACGTAGGTACACTAGAATCAGGAATCCCGCCTATAAACAGAAGTAATTTATCCCAAGCGAAGAATCTCGAAACGGAAGTGATACAATCGATATTTATCGTCTTCATTGATTTACAGTAATTTGTATTCACAGCGTAAAACTCGTGATACCTTGAGCTAACGTCTGAGGTGGTATTCCAAGAATGACCACAACAGAAAGCGGTTTTGACATTATGGAACAGAAATTCAGGTCGTCCGTTGTAAAGAGTGGGACTTTGTTTTTAACGCGACATCCCGTTACAAGTTACCTGCTTTTATATTTGCAACACAATATGGTACGGCCTGACGTAATAAAGGTCTCTTTTCTGTTTGTCATGACGACACAACACTCAACCTGTCATCTGCAGAATTGTCTTTAACTTCCTCTGAAATACAGGGGTGGTTAAGCTGAGTGCCTAAAACAACCCAAAAAAATAACCAAGCCCATGGTATTATCTATAACAGTGGTATTCAACCTTTTCTGTTCGCGTACCCCCAGATATAATTTCTCTTCAACTTTGTACCCCCAAAGTTGTTGGTGTATAATTCAAG